TGGTTAAAGTATTGTGGAAACATCGCGAAATTAAGGAAGCAACTTGGGAACGTGAATTGGAAGTCTAAGAAAAATATCCAGACTTGTTGATATTTAATTTTATATTGAGATTTCCATTATGTAAATGAAATGTAAAGACATTGCATATGTTATGGGCATTTTGGAAACATGGATTCAATATAAGCATTGCATATGTTTTGAGAATATGAAATATTAAGGGTGTTGTATCACTTTTGGAAGGATTGTATATGCTGTGTAAATTTTTGAAAAGAGCTTTGGAATCATGTTAAACTATGAGTTTTGGGATGTTTTCTGGAAAATTGGCCCAAGAGGATCGAAATTTATGTTTTAAAACTTGGACTTGAGCTTGAGGTTCAAATCTGGGAATTCCAGATTTTGAACTCACGCTCGAGCGGGGTGACTGGCGCTCGAGCGTGAAATTCGTGCTCCCAGTACTTTGCACTGTTTTGAACGCTCAAGCGGGACATTGTGTCTCATGCTCAAACGGGTGTCGAGCGCCCAATCGAGCGTGATTTTCACCTTTCCAGCACTTTTGACTGTTTTACAGAACGCTCGAGCGGGTAAGTCTACGCTCAAGCGGAAACCTTTGTCTGCATATACGCTTGAGCAGAGTAATCTACGGTCGAGCATGACCCCTATTTTCTGAAAATTCTGAAAATGCTTTTAAAGGGCATCTTTGCATCTTCATCTCATCCTAGGCATTCTTAGGCCTAGTTTAAGACATCTTAATGAGGATATAGAACACACCGAGGCAAATTAGGGATTAAGTTATTATCTTTCCCAACTGTGTAGCTTAGTGTGTGTTCAATCTGTAACTGTGTAGGGTTGGCGACTGGGGACGCGCTCTAGCTTTACTGTAGCCCAGAACTCTATGAGTAACAACTGTGTAAAGATATGTTCAAAATGATTAGCTTCTGAACAATTGAACTGTACTTCTTTCTGAACTGATACTGTTAATTGAATGAATGTAAGTCCTATATTCTGAACTGTATTGTGGCATCCTTAGCAACTACTGTTTACTGATACTGTTACAGAGATCTTTGTCGGCTCCCTTGTTGGAACCACTACTATTTACTGATTAATGGCCATCATTTACTGTTCGGTCTTTTAAGACATACTGTTTACTATACTGTTATGCTAATGGATGTACCACATATGGCTGAATGACTGATATACTGAATTAACGAACTGTTTTCATTACTGTAAGGACATTTATTCTTAACCTCTTTACGCATTACATTATTCACTGAGTTTTAGCTCACTGCTCATATATATATGTAGGTGTACAGGCACCAAATCGTGGTTAGAAGTGTCGGGGTAAGCTCCAGTTTTGTCAAGCCAACCACTGTGCCTCACTGCGAGGTTCCGAGCCTGTCAAGCTATGGCTTAGGGGTGCTTTAATTTCCCCCGTTTGTCCCTGTAACTGTTTTGTAAACTGTATAGACTGTTACTATACTGTTTGATAGGGATTAGGTCTCTGAACTGAATGATTGTTAATATGTACATACTGTTCTGTACTGTTCATGTATATGTGTATGAAAAATCTTTTTGGCATACAGACTGTCACAGCTCATTGGACATTGTTTATTTACTGTTTTGGCTTTCGTCATGCCCCTGTACTCTATTTTACTGTATTACTGTTAAGCTGGCCTTCGGTAATCTTGGATTACTGACCGGTTACGGTGCTAAACCCATAGAGGCGGGTTTAGATTGTGACACCGACCGTAGGAGAAGATCCTTGTCTTTTGAGGTGAGAGATCATGTCTTTTTGAAAATATCACCTAGGCAGGGTTTGATGAGATTTGAGAAGAATAGGAAGTTGTCCCCTCGGTTTATTGGCCATTTTGAGATCCTTAAGCGGATTAGGGAGGTTGTTTATCGTTTGACGTTACCGTCACAACTTTTCGGAGTTCATGACGTGTTCCATATTAGTATGCTTTGGAAGTATGAACCGGATCCATCGCACGTGTTGGATTGGACTGACTTAGAGGTAGATGAGGATGTCTCGTATAAGAAGAAACCAGTGAGAATCTTGGATACTCGGGATCAAGTTTTGTGAGGCAAGACAATCTCCTTGGTTAAAGTATTATGGAAACATCGCGGAATTAAGGAAGCAACTTGGGAGCGTGAATTGGAAGTCTGAGAAAAATATCTAGACTTACTTGTTGATATTTAATTTTATATTGAGATTTCTATTATGTAAATGAAATGTAAAGACATTGCGTATGTTATGAGCATTTTGGAAACATGGATTCAATATAAGCATTGCATATGTTTTGAGAATATGAAATATTAAGGGTGTTGTATCACTTTTGGAAGGATTGTATATGCTGTGTAAATTTTTGAAAACTCGGATTTTGATTAAACATTGTAAATGTTTTGGAAAATTGAAAATTACACTTTCAGAATGGGACTTGTGTTTCAAGTCAATGAGAATGGATGACTAGAGAATGGGTCATGGTATTGAACTTGTGAGAATAACATTTTTATGAATGGTCTAATGTTGATTTTCGATTTTGACCCGTCACTTGTTGTATTCCGAACTCGGGTTTGTACGGTTTGGAATAGTGATTCATATCTTGTTTTCTTTGTCTCCCCTCTATTTTGGTTATTGGATTGTAGTTGTGCATTTGAAACAGGTTGATTGCTTGTTTTTCCAAACCTTTGTTGCCTAGATTTTTGCTCCTCCGCCTGAGTGGCCATTCTTGCACTCGAGCGGGCTTTGCAATCTTTACTCTTCCGCTCGAGTGACACTTCTCGCGCTCGAGCGGGCTTTGCGAACTCTCAGTCGATCCCACGGACAAAATTTTCGTAAAATGACAGATTGAAGTGTTTGTGTGTTAATGATGTGATTGTAGAACCATTGAGTTGTAGTCTCATGTGGGTTATTGAAAAATAATGAAATTGGCTCATGTATTGAAATGAATTGAATGGAAATGGATTAAGATTTAGATTTTGTACTTTATGACTATAAAATGTGAATGTTTTGTCACAGACATTGTTTATGCATATTGTATTTATAACTTTGTTAAATCTCATATATTGTGTTAGATTTTTCCTACTGAGCTATGACTCACCCTATTTAAAAACAATATTTTCAAGTAATGATGGCATGCCTCCACCAAGGCAATAGTATTGGAGAGATTTTGAGAAGCAAGAGCTTCTTTGTCTTGTTTCACTTTTTGTATAGCCCCTTGTATGAGCTACCCTCACTTTTGTTTTAATCAAGTCAAGACTTGAAAATATGTAAGTCTATAAGACATTTATTTATACTAAACTCTTTTCTACTATTAACATTATAAAATGAAAGGACTTTACATTCTGATTCATGCAGTTATATATATTTGGGTTGAACTCATGGTTATATTTTGAGAGCGTTACAAGAATAAGAAAAGAGATGAAACATAAAGGGTCTTGTAATTATGTTTAGTTCTTTTGGACATTTATCATTTGCATATCATGGAAACTAACGAAAAATCCCCAGTATGAATCAAATCGGTTCAAAGCTAGTAGGATCAAAAACACCATTTTTCAATAGTTTTTGTTTAAAATTGGGGAATTAAAATCCTTTTGCAAGGCAAAACATTCGGTGAATGAATTTACCATACTAGCATGCTTTCTTCCGACAGATAAGAACGAGAATGGAATTTGGCGACAACCACCAATTTCAAAAAAAATATAATAATAATAATGGTGAACAGGAAAAGAGTTAATACAGACTACAGAATGACACACAACGAAAATGCTCATAGTGATGGTTAATTGTCAAGGTTGTTAGAAATCAACACTTATTAATCAAGACCAGTGAGGCTCGAAAACAAAGAAAAACAAAAAAAATTGTAAACCACATGCATGCAAAAAGAACACAATTTGTGTGATTCATCCTAAAACTAAGGCTACGTCCACAATCGCAGACACTCCACTATACATAGACACATATAGCCAACCTACACTGATGTTAAGACAATAAGACACAAGTACAAAAATACCAAAAAGTACCTTACGCCAAATTTGGGCTGAGTAGTTACTATTCAATAGTTATCAAGATCCGTACTACCTCAACACCTGCACGGGCCATGGCCCCATGGTGTGACTTGTGCTGCAATGGATTGGCATGACATTTGCAATATGATGCTAAGCAAAGCTATGGTGTGCAATCACAATCCCTAAATGTGACTTCAACGCAGAAAAGATCAATTTAAAAATGTCTCCATAAGAATTAACAATTCACTCCAATCAATAGAATTGCAAATTTATGAGCTGGATTGGACTGCCAAGAAAATTGAATTCATAATTATAGAGCAGTACCCACTGCATGAGAATCATGGACAAATCATCAATATACACATTCAGATAGGAAGGACAATGGAATCATAGGCAAAACGTAACCCAGTCAGCAAATACCATTATCGAGTTGGGTTGCTAACAACTAAACATGCTGATACTAACATACAAAACACACAAGCAATATGCTACTGCAACTAAAATATGTAAGACCATAAAGTAATGATGATTGCAAGTACAATCGCTGTTCCATCAAAATTTCCACTTTAATTGCTAAGGGTGGTTTTATAGTATAGACCAAGCATACAAGTCAGACTGAAGATTAAAAAGATAAAAGACAGTCCAAATGCCAGTTCTCACTAAGAAACCGTCTTATCTCCTACAATATTAGATGGAAATTCAATTCATATCTCAAATTGCAAATATTTAGTTAACAAACAAAATAGGGTTTGATATTCTGTTCACAAACTTTTCACAGTGCCTGCGCCACATTTCATCAATAAAACAAATTCTTAAGTAAATAGAAGAACACATTAATTGATGAAACATCCAAACATCTCCAAATCTTAGTATGTTTAACACCACTCAAAAATTCAAAACAACCCGAAACTGAAAATGATGGCTGTTTTGGCAAATGCAAAGACCATTTTCAGACCACACAACAGTTTTCTGAATATAACAAAAAGAAAAAGAGAAAATGAAAACCAAAGTATAATCACATAACACACGCAATATAAGAAAACAAACTGAACTGGAATATACCCCAGCAATGTAATCCACACACGAAATGCAACAATAATACGCCAGGGTTCCCCGAGTCATAACACTATTACACTGCCAAAGTACTAGTGACATCAGAGTCAACCAACAAAAGGTTCCGTATGAAATTCTCCGGAGTTAAGAGAATCACATACCAAAAGCAGTTCCAAAGTTATCCGAACCTCAAATCCCAGGTAACACACATCATAGAATTCATTTCTATCAGAAATGAAGATATAGTAATTTTAAGAAGGATTAGAAAGGGACAGAGAGTGACATTTCACTAGACAGCCAAGTTTGGCTGAGCCTGATTCTCCTGCTGCTGCTGATAGTTCAGAGGCCTCCTGAAGAGCATAATATGTGGCTCTGGTCGATGGATTGCGTAGTGGACCCACCCTCTGCTCTGCTGCACCCCAATCGCACGCCACTCGTTCTGATACACAAAATCAAATAAATGATACCATCAAATTGTTTAATATTGAAATTTGCCTAAACAGTGCTCTAAAAATGATGAAAAGGTAATGAAAAGTGTTTCGGAATTAGAGAAAAGTGTTTTGTGTTCTTCATTTTATGTCATTTTGATACCAAATCGGGCATGGAATACAATATTCAAAACAAGCATTGATTGCACACACACCCAAAAAAAAAAAACAGACATAAGATCACATTTTAAGAATATCAGAGGATAAAAAACGAGGGAATTATTATTACAGAAAATATGGAACCCTACGAGTTAGGGTTCAAGAAAAATGTGAAATTTAACTGCAACCAAATCAAGTAATTTGATTTATTTATCTCATATACCTAATAAGAACACATCCAAAATCAAATTTCTATTCCACTCCATTTTCTTTAAACCCTAATTACTTACTTCAGAGAGAAGGCGATTCTTGGGAAGAAGTTTGGCCACTTCAGGAGGTAGAACCACATGCCTGCAAAATCAACAAATCAATAACCAAAGAAACGAATGCGTGTTCAGAGAGAAACCAAAGAAATGAATTCAAAATCGATAGAAAAATGAGAAATGAAGATGAAATCGAATATACCTGTACTCGTAGGTGTCGTCGAAGTACTTCTCGGAGTACTGGATCTGACCCATCCCTCTACACTGCTCTACTTCCCAATTTCACACTTTGGACAGCTTCAAGAAAGAGAGAGAAACAGAGAAATCTTCCTTGTTGCGATTCAAACTGTGGACAGAGAGAGAAAGCTAATTACAAACCCTAATGTTGATTCAAAAAAATTTATGAATTGTCGATAAATGAACATTTACCCTAAAACAATGAGAGAGGGTCTTCTATATATAGAAAATTGTAAGACTATCTCGGAAATATCTATATAGACACAGTTGGTACAATGCATGCACTTGTGAAGACAGGTGGCACTGGGGGGGGCGGCTGGGGTCGGGTCGGTGTGAAAACGACACTAAATGAATTTGAAATTATTTATAAAAAGAAAAATTTTATAGGAGTACTAGATGCATCTTTAGTTTGAGAGGGACTTATGTATTGGTTTTAATTAGTGGGTTTATTATTTGATAAGTTTAATGATAAGGAAAATGATTTGGAGCCCTAAAAAAGTTTTTCTAATCCCTCTAATCCCCAAAACGATGTCGTTTTGGGGAGTTTTTTTTTTTTTTTTTGCCTTGGTTTGAAAATTCGGGGGATTAGGGAGGGATTTTCGGGAGACATAGCATCACCCTAATGATAATTAATGATATTTTTTAGTAAATATTATTAAAAAATGTTATTAATTGTTAATTTTTGGTGATAGTTTAAAATTTTTATCAAAAAATGTCACTAATTATAAATTTTAGCTTTTAGCGACAGTTTAAAAAACTTGTTACAAAAAAATACTAATTTTCTACTTTTAGCAACAGTTTGAAAAATTCATTACAAAAAATGTCACTAATAGTAAGTTTTAGCGCCAATTTATCAAAATCATGATAAAAAAGTCACTATGTCAATTTTTAGTGACATATGTAAAAAATCGTCGTAAAAAATTATTTTTGACTCCGATTTTATTATAATTTATTTTCAATAGAACTTGATGAAAATTAAGTCCAACTATTAAGACTTATTGATAATTTACCTTTAATTTTTAATTGTGCTATTAGTTTTGATATATTTTAATGTTGATTATAATATTATTTTAATTATGATTCAAAAGTTATTTGATTATATTTCATGTGATGTTTAATTATAAACTCTTGTTATTTTTAAAATTATGACTACCCTAATATTAAGTTACGTTATTTGTAATAATTAATTTAAGAGTTTGTCCCATAACATTACCTATTTATTTATGACAAATTTTAACAAATATCCTCATATATTGTTTAATGTTGAAATTGATGCAAAAAGTGTTTTAAAAATAATGAAAAAGTCAAAAAAATGTTTTAAAACAAGTAAAAATTATTATAAAATTAACGATAAGTGTGTTAGATTTTTTAATTTTTTTCCCCTAAAGCACTCGTTAGCAAAAACATTTATTTATTATATATGAAAAAATAGTAGAAATTATTAGAATGTAGGAGCACTTGCAACGGTACCTTTGGTTTGAATTTAAAATTTGAAACCAAATTTATTCCAGCTCCGGTTTGTTGGGTTCGTAACGGTACAATTGTTTCGTAACGGAACCTTTGGTTTTAACGAAATTAAGTTTTAATCTTATCTGCAATAATGATGTTTTAAAAATCTTGATAAAGAAGTTGAAATTATTTTATATTTAAACATGTATTAATGTTAAATGACGTGTTTATCTTATTTAAATATAAAATATAAATGTTAGAATGCAATTAATCAAAGAGATAATCAAGAATCCAGTAAATATTTTCAAATTTATTTATCTGTTTGGCTAACACCAACAATGCGTATTGACCAAACTAATATAAAATTTATATTTAGAAGAACACAGTGTACTTGTGTTAAAATTCAAAGATGAGTTATGATTTCTTCATAAATATAATTTATGTGTCATATGAATATATGTTAAATAAACCATTTCTTTATTATCCAAGAGGTCAATTTAATTAATGAAAAATGAGTGAGAGCTCTAATTAGAACTACCACTAATGATGTGGCAGTGCATCCCACCCACTGCCACAGCTTGTGTTGTGTTTGTTTTTTTTTTTTTTTTCACCTTTTTCACCTCATTAATGGTGGATTAGAGCCACCAAATTAGTGGTTTCTACTATGACTGTTAATTAATCTATCCAACAAAACGAAAAAGAACAGGGCATTCTTGTTTTGTAAATAGTCCTCGATTCCAAAACACTTACCAAACAATGCAAGCATTCTACAATGGAAATGACAAACTCATACACTATACACAATAAAACAAAAAGAAATGACCTTTATAAATACCCTTTGCAATTAGAAAAAAATTATTATAGCTGAAAGTTCAAATTCAAAGGCCATGTAAAGTCAGAAATGCAACGCATACATGTTGAGCGAGAAAAAAGAAACAGTAATATAATGACAACCATATTTGTTTAACATCATATGCGACAATATTGCATTGAGAAACAAGCATGATCAGTGAGATCCATTAAACTAAATACAATATTATCCCATAAAATTTTAAACAAATTGTTGTAGGAAAAAAAAAAAAATCATTCCTAAATAAATAAAACCACACAATCCATACCACAAAGACAAGGCAAAGTTGATGTTTGACCTTGATGCATAGTATTAACAGTTAAAACATTTCAAAAGCACTTTAAAAGAGTTTATTGTCAAAAAGAACCGTAGTACCTAATTCTGTATATCCCAAACAGGCTACAACCCAGTCAAAAACTAATTAACTGATATTTTCAACTTTCAGACCACTACAGGAAAACATAGAAAAAAACACGGATTTTTAGCGACGCCGCGCCCCCCGTCGCAAAAAACGGTTTTTTGCGACGGTAACTTCACCTGTCGCAAATAATAGCCTTTAGCGACGGCACTTACCCGCCGGTAATGAAACTAAGCGGAGGGGTCGGAAATGCGGAAGTATACCGTCGCAAAAACCTTTTTTTGAGACGGCATATATCATTTGCGACAGAAATTTGCCGTCGCAAAAAAGGATTAATTCAAACGACGCCGTTTTTCCTTCTATTTGCGACGGTCTACATCATACCGTCGCAAAAAGTCAAAAAAAAAAACCCCCTCTTCTTTTCCTGTTGCCTCTCGATCCTCATCCCCAAATCCGTAACTTCACCCCCAAATTTCCCAAACGGGCTACGAGGAAGACAGCGGTGGTGCGGCGACGACGGCGACGGCGACAAGTGGTGGTGCTCCGGCGACGACTCTCTCTCCCTCTGCGTATGCTCTCTCTCTCTATCTCTCTCTCTCGGTCTCTGTATATATATATATATAGATGAATGTCTGAAATCTGTCTATATATATATATAAATCTGTTTATCTGAAATCT